TTCAGCGTTGCGGCAACCATGGAGCCAGAGAAGGTCGATTCTGACACCTCTCTCTCGGAGAATGAAACAACTCGGTTTGAGATCATAAGTCGCCCTCCTCCAATGAAGGCATCCCCTACTCGTCGTTCGCATGTTAGCCAGGTGGTGGCTGCCTTCAAAAAGAGATTAATGATGTCGGAGGTTCAGGGAGAGGTGGCTGAATCCGAGCGCGATATGGTTCTGCGCCTTAACGAGTATGGATCTAATATTATGGAGTCATAGGATGGTGGACGTAAAAGGCCTCTTCAGGAGATTACAGGAGGTGTTGAAGAGGAACGAAGTCCAAAGAAGCAATTTGTTGAAGAGGAGATGGAGAAAGATAAGTGGAGGAAGCCAGCCTCGAGTGGTCCCAAGCAGATAAATGAGGTTTCTCGCTTGGAATGTAAGGAGAATTGGACCATCCCTCACATTCCAGACTGTTGTTGGTCTAATTCGGTCGAATAAGCCGGACCTGGTGTTCTTCTCGGAGACTCGATCGTGCAGGCGCGTAGTTTCCCGTCATTTGCGGGGGTTAGGTTTTTTGTTGTCTCATTGTTTCTTTGAGGATGCTATTAATGGGGCTGGGGGTTAGTTGCTGCTTGGTCCCCTGGGGTTGAGGCTTCAGTGTTCTTTCATTCCAATTTTTGTCTTTCTGTTCTTATTAATGAAGAAAGTTTTTCGTACGTTGTGGTGTGTGTTTATCTTAGTTGTGATGTCACGATACGTGCCTCGTAGCTGGCTGCTCTTCGTGACATTTGTGCGACAATCCACCTGCCGTTTGTGGTAATCGGGGATTTTAATGCAACGTTAAATGCTCAAGAAAAAGAAGGGGGGTACCCCATGGAACCCAACCAAATCAGTTGCTCTTCGTGAGTTTGTTCAGGACTTGGGCCTCCATGACACAGGATTTCAAGGGGATCAATTTACCTGGTCTAATAGGCGCATGGGATCGGACCTTATCCGGGAGCGTTTGGATTGAGCATTATGCTCCCAAACTTCGATTGATAGCTTCCCTGATACCTTGCTAAAACACTTTACGGATCAAGGTTTGGACCATCGTGCTCTGCTTTTGGCTTATAAACCCTATGTCCGTAGTAGCCGACCCCTCTTTCGTTTCGACGCTCACTGGGCGGATAATCCCGAAGTTAGGGCGATGGTTTAGTTTGTGTGGCAGGAGGAAATCCAATGGACTCCTATGTACCAGCTCTGGCAGAAATTGAAAAAGCTTTGGCATCTTTTATATGATTGGAGTCGAGCTGGTACAACGAACTCTTTGCGGAATATCAATACCCTTCAACGGGAACTGGACCGGGTTAAGCCCGTCCACCCAATTGATTGGGCTGCTGTTAGAGACTTGGAGATTGAGCTCAACCGACAGTGGGAGGCGGAGGAAATGTATTGGCAACAGAAATCTCGGGTCACGTGGCTGAAGAAAGGTGATAAGAATACGTCATACTTTCACACAGTGACCCGGGCACGTAGAAAGCGGAACTTTGTATCCGAGCTATGTGATGACAATGGGGATTGGATTGCCGATGAAAAAGGGAAGGCGGAGATTGCCTCAACTTTTTACCAGAATCTTTTTACCTCCGAAAATCAGGTCCCTAACAAGGCTAATCGGATTGCGAATCTTCCTATAGATCGGAAAGTTACAGAGGAAATGAATGAGGCTCTAACAGATGAGGTTCTCCCAGAGGAAGTCCGTCGTATCGTCTTTTCCACGGGATCCAAACAAGCCCCGGGATCGGATGGTTTCAATGGCAAGTTCTTTAAACCCTTCTGGGACATTGTGGGTGAGTCAGTGAGTAAAGCGGTATGCTCTTTTTTTCAACATCAAGGTTGCTTCGGAGCTTTAGTCACACCTGGTTGACTTTGATTACGAAGGTGGATAATATGGAAAACATGCGGCAGCTCAGACCAATTAGCTTGTGCCAGTTTGTGTACAAGATTATAACTAAAATTATGTCGGAGCGGCTTGCTTTCCTATTACCCACGATAATTTTGGAAGGCCAGAATGCATTCAATCGGGAAAGGAAAATCGTTGAAAATGTCCTCCTAGGACATGAGTTAATGCATTACTTGAAGATCAAGAAACAAGGGAAGAAAGGATATATGGCTCTAAAGGTTGATATGGAAAAGGCCTATGATAGAGTCGAATGGTCCTTTCTGCACGGTGTTCTTGATAAGATGGGCTTTAACTCAACCTGGTGTGGGTGGATTAATGAGTGTCTTCGCTCGGCCTCTTTCTCAGTTATGATGAATGGCACCCCGTCATGATATTTCACACCTACTAGGGGTTTGCGTCAGGGTGATCCGTTATCCCCGCTTCTTTTTGTGATCTGTGCGAAAGGGTTCGCGGTCCTCATTAGGTAGGCCATTTCGGATGGGAAACTGGAAGGGATTAAGGTGGCCCCTCGTGCTCCCCGTATATCCCATCTCTTTTTCGCAGACGATTCGTACCTTTTCCTCAGGGGCACCCTAGAGGAGTGTGAGAATTTGATTGAGGTGCTGAATGAATATGAAGAGCTTAGTGGACAACGGGTTAACTTGGCCAAATCGGTAGTCTGTTTTAGCAAGAACATCTCTCCTCCATACCAGGAATGGCTGGCGCAGATCAGGGGGGTGGTGGCGGTGGGGGTACATGATAAATATTTGGGTCTCCCTACCCTGATTGCCCAGTCTAAAACCATGACCTTTCGGTATTTGGAGGAAAAGTTGCTTGCCCGCCTCCAAGGGTGGAAGCAGCGAACTTTATCATGGGCGGCCAAGGAGACTCTGATCAAATAAGTTGCATTGGCCCTGCCACTTCATGTCATGTCATGTTTCAAGTTGCCATTATCCCTATGCCGCCTCTTGGATAAACATGTGGCCAGATTTTGGTGGGGTGTCGAGAAGGGTCGTTCTAAAATTCGGTGGATGTCGTGGAAGAATATGTGTCATAGCAAACATGATGGGGGATGGGGTTTCATCGTTTTGAGCATTTCAATCAGGCGCTTTTGGCAAAAATTACCTGGCGCATTTTTAACGAGCCCCAATCGCTGCTACATCAAGTCTATAAAGGGAAATACTTTCTTCGTGGTTCGTTCCTCACGGCTGCGGCCCGCTCGCGGCCTTCTTGGGGATGGCAAAGCATACTGTTTGGTCGAGACCTCCTTTTGCAGGGGCTTCGGTGGCAGATTGGGAATGGGAACTGGCCCCATTGTTGGACTCTCGGTGGATTCCTAACCTACACCCTTGCCCCCCGGCTTATAATCCTTGTGTGCTGCCTTAGGAAGAGATTAAGGTTAGTGAGGTTATTTGTCAAGGTGAGGGTCGCTGGTGCGATGCCCAGCTGCAACGATGGTTTGACCCACCCACAATAGTGCAATTAAGCAAATCCCGCTCCCGCGACAGTCGGTGGAGGATAGGTTGATATGGCATGGGACGTCGGATGGCATCTTTACGGTCAAATCGGCTTATCACTTGGCTGTTGCTTTAGCTCAGCATAATGGGAAGTCGAAAGCTATGGCCAGTTGGATGGATAGACCCAGTTGGATCCGTCTGTGGGGCTCAACCATTCCCCCTAAGATGAAGATGTTTGCTTGGCAAGTCTTTATTCGGCTTCTCCCTACGATAGAGGCTCTTAATGAGAAAGAGGTTCAGGTGCTCCCGCGGTGCCCGGTTTGCTGGGCTGAGTCTAAAACAATGGAGCATTTGTTTATGGATTGTCCGGTCGCGAGGGCGTTATGGGATCATTCGGGATTGGACCAGTTGGGTCAGGCTTTGTCGCATGACACGTTTCCCATGTTCCTGAAAAAGTTAATGCTTCGGCTTAGGCAACCTGACCACTTTCTCGCTGTTATAATGCTCTTATGGCGTATCTGGAGATCCCGGAACTAGGTAGTTTTTTAGGGTAAACAATTTGGTATCCCGTCGTTAATGAGTCAATTTACACAACAGTACAATGAATGGATTGCCTTGCCAAGAGATCGGAATGGTCGGTCTCAGTGTTCGCCTCCCCGAGCCATGGACTTGGGTAACTCGTCTGAGGTGGTGTGTTAATGGGATGGGGCGACAAAGGTGGGCTCTCATTCGGCTGGTGGGATGGTTATCCGTCAGCGGTCTGGGGGTGTTATTCGGGTTCTAGGGTTTCAGCTTTTTGATGTGGATGATCCAATGACGGTGGAGCTGCTTGTTCTCAGGGAGACTGTCCTTTGGTGTCTAAACCAGGGGTTCCATACAATTTGCTTTGAAGGTGATGCTAAGGTTGTGATCGATAAGATCAACCGGGTTGATACTAGGGATGGTAGGGTGGGGGCTTTGCTGCAAGAGGTGGTGTCTTATTTTAATCTCCACGAGGGGCTTAGTGTGCTATTTGTTGGTCGTAGTAACAAATAACAATAGGGTAGCCCATGTGGTGGCTAGAAAAGCCCTGTCATTGTACCTGGCTTCATGTCAATCCTTTAATTTTATGGCCTAGCTTAATTCCAGGATGTAACTATCTTTTCGATCATTATATGATTATCTATTGTAAATAAAATGAGCTTCATATAACTAAAATTTAAAAATTATAGCAAAATTACAAGCTAAAAAGCACAGAAAGAAGTATAAAAAGCACCAACCAAAGGACCCGGATCGGGTCACCCACCAGAAAATAACTCTGATTGGATGAATTCAACAATTCATCAAGTTTGAGCCTCTAAGATGAATCTCAACCAAATGTAAGATACTTTAACAGTAAAGTTGCAGTGATAATGAAGGTTTGGAAGTTGTAGATCTCAGATTTGAATCCAAGCGAGATTCGTTGATATTCCCGGAAGTACAAAGTTGTTGGGGTCGAAGCCCCATTGACGTCTAACAAATATAATTGCAGATGACCCCCAAATTAAGTAGAACCCGCTGTTATGCTATTCCACCCCAAACTTTTTATAATCTATCTTAACTAATCCCTAAATTTCCCAAAACTATCATATCATCCAAAAAAAAAAAAAATACCCAACAATTCACTCGGAAACAATGGAGATTGTGCCGCTGGAGATACTCCCATGGCCTCCCTCGCAAAGCACCAACGCCCTCTCCAAATTCACAACAATATCCGCCATCATCGGCCGGTCCTTCCCTTCGGCGCTCAAGCAGTGCATCGCCGTGTACCCCACCAGCTCCACCGCCTCCGCCTCGTTCACATCCGGTTGCCCCACCCTCCCGTCCAGTATCCCCCACAGCTCCCCGCCGGCGATCCTCGCTGCTGCGTACACCACCACACTTGTCGGCGTCCCTTCCTCGTCGTCGCCCTTAAATATCGCCCGCTTCCCCGTCAACAGCTCCAGCAACACCACCCCCAATCCGTACACATCGCTTTTCGTCGTCAGCACGTTCAAGCTGTAGTACTGCGGGTCAATGTACCCCACCGTGCCGGTAGCCTTCGCCGGCCGCCGGTACCCCATTTCCGGGTCAGGTCCCAGCAAAGACAACCCGAAATCCGACACCCTGGCCACCTAATTCCCGTCCAGAAGAATATTCGATGATTTGATGTCCCGATGGATGATCGGAGGGACGGGGTAATTGTGCAGGTACTCGATCCTTCTTGCCGCGTCCAGCGCGATTCTGATCCTCATCTTCCACGAATTGATCAAGCTGCTCGATTTCGCGACATTGTTCCGGTCGTGGAGGTGGTCGTACAGAGCGCCGTTTTTCATGTACTCGTACACCAGAAGCTTTTCATCACCTCCGTTGTCGCAGTACCCGACGAGCCTTACTAAATGCTTGTGGTGGAGGCGGGAGAGGAAGGAGAGCTCCGATTCGAACGCGCTCGCTTTCTCATGGTACTTTTTCGGCTTCTTGCTCGTTTCGCCTCTCTTGATCGCGACCTCCCTGCCGTCGGCGAGCTTGCCTCTGTAAACGACGCCGTAGCTACCGGCACCGATTTTGTTCTCTGTTGAGAACCCGTCCGTGGCGGCGGCGAGCTCCGAGAGGGTGAATTCTTCGGCTCTGGGGTCGGCGTGCTTGGATGAAGTCCCGCTCCTCTGGCGCCTCATTGCTCTAGAGCTCTGCCGCCGGAAGGTTGAGGATCTTGAGGTGATGATGATTCCTCCGATCCTCCATCGTTGCCGTTGTCTGAGCCTGCTCTGGTGATTGTGGGTTGGACGGAGTTGTGGACTTTTTTCCGGCCTCCTGTCCACAGGCTGTAGAATACTGTGCATATGCTTGCGAAACCTCCGACTGATCCGACGACGGCGAACGAGAACAACCCCTTACTCAAGCTTGTTGATGATGATGTAGGAGGTGGTGGCAGCAGCGATGTAAGGAATGGCGGCGGAGGCGGAGGGGATGCCTCTGTCGAAACATTGAACCCGCACGGCCTGCAAATCACCCCTGAACCACCGCACCAGTTCTGAGAATCTTCGTACACGCCGCATTCATCGCAGGAAGAAGATTGGACGCAAGGCCCTATCAGAATCGGTGGCAGTGGAAGGATCTGATAGGGCTCTGAATTCGAATTCGAAGGCCATCCGGGTCCCCAACAGATTGTCGACAAGTTGTTCGACAAAATGCCATACAGAAAATTCGACCCAGAGACGATAGACTCGAAGAAGATTCCTTCAATCCCATTGACCACCATCCCTCCATCTCCACCCCAACAAATCACCGACCCATTGCTCCGACGAAGAGCGCAACTGTGATTGGCTCCCAGCGCCAACTGTGAATACTCCAGCGGCGGCGAATATAGGGGAACATTGAGCTGCCCGGAGAAATTGTCACCTCTGCAAACCACAAACCCAGTCGAATTCACTCCGCATGCGTGAGACCAGCCGGCTTGAACACTCAACATCGGCATGTTCCCAAACCCCAATTCGATTCTCTCTGCAATCAGATCGCTTCCCCAGCACCGAATTCTGCTCCCGGTAGCCGAAATCCCGCAAGAAAACCCGTATCCGGATGAAATCGCCCTGAATCTATCCCCGGGCAATCGGGTTCTAATACTCTCATCCCCACTCCAACATCTCACCACCCCGGAATCCGAATCCAAATCCCCAACAGCCGCCGTCGTCGAGCAAACTTGATCACCCCCAACGGAAACGCTCTGCAACAAAACAGAGACGCTGAAATAGATTCGCTTGACGCTGTTGGGAATAGCGGAATTGTTGTCGGGCGAGAATGTATCCCAGCAGAGCAGAGCAGAGCCGCCGGAATGGACTCCGCAGTAAATATCCTGTCGCCGGAGATCGAAGAGAAGGAGATGTTGGGTTGAAGCGCTACGATTGGTGGCAGAGAGCCACCGCTGTTGCCGCCGGGTGGTCTGAAACAAATGATGCTCTGGGTAGCCTGATAGGAGACGATTCCGCAGGCGGCAGGGGAGCCGGAGATGACGGCGAGGGTGGAGCCGGATCCCAGGGCATGGGAGAGTAACGGAATACAGAAAAGTATGACGACGGCGGCAACGGTGGGGCGGAGAAAAGCAGGGGAGGGTGCGCTCTTCATTGAAAAGGGGCGTGCTGATGACGGCGGCGGAGATGGTGGTGTTGGTGGGCTCCGCCGGGCGGGGGCTGCTTCATTTGGCCTGGTGTTGGTTTCTAGTAGGGATGGCAATGGGGCGGGTTTGGGGCGGGTTTGCTTAAACCATCCCCATACCCATCTTCAAATACCCAAACTCATACCCGCCTCATACCCATGCGGGGATGTTTTGCAAACCCATCCCCATATCCGTGGGTTTCGGGTACCCATGGATAACACCCATACCCGTAATCCAACATTATTGTACCTAAAACTTACAAGAAAAGTTCTAATTATAACTCTAAACGAACATATTATATCATGAAGTCAACAAAACACGGTCATTTTTTTAATATGGTTCAAAGATTATGATCCTAAAATATCCATTAATACATAATATAGAGTATAATATTTTTCAAATTATTATGTTCTAACTCTGATACATCTACTAAATAATAATTAACTAACATAATCTTGTTGACAAGGGGGAAAGTGAAAGAGTGAAATGAGAATTCAGAGAAATGAATTAGATTTTGATTAAGGTGGTCATTCAATTGCATTTCTACTATTTATTTTCTCAAGTTATCCTCATCATCATTGATAGATTATAATTTGATGCATATATTTTTTTATATATGAAGAAATTATCTTGGTGGGGCGGGTATGGGGATGGGTATGGGGCGGGGGAGGCTAAAACCATACCCGCCCCATACCCATCAAACTTTTTGCGGGTTTTACCCATAACCGCCCCATACCCGATCAAAACAGGGATTCCCCGCGTTGACTGGGTCGGGGGCGGTCGGATACCCGCGGCCATGGGTTTGATTGCAATCTCTAGTTTCTAGAGAGGGAATGGGAGAGAAGGGGATGGCGGAGGTGGAAATCTAGAGAGAGATTGTGTTTCCGTTTAGTCGTTTATATATAGTACTAGTAGGAATGGCAATGGGCAGGTCCGGGGCGGGTTTCTTGGTACCCAGATCCGCCCCGTGCCAGGTCGGGTTCAGGTCGGGTAATTGATCACGGGTTGCGGGTCGGGACAGGTCGACCCAATGGGTATGCAATTTATATGAAAAACATTAGAAATATTCGTTATTTTTATTATAAGACTAAGAAAACAAACAATATTATGACAATTGTAGTTAAATTATTGGAGAAATTGAGATTTTTACTAATTTACAACTTTATTATAGCTAAAATATGATGCAATAAAAGGAAAATTCTCAGTAATTTGACTAAGATTACATGTGATTTAGACAAGAATGGGTCGAGAATGGGGCGGGTCAGGGCAGGTCGGGTCGATGAGACTACCCATGCCCGCCCCGCCCCGCCTACGGGGCGGGTCGGACCCGCCCAAAACAGGTGAAACAGGTCGGGTAAAACGGGTCAGGTCAAAATTGCCATCCCTAAGTACTAGCATTAACCCTGCCCTTTGGGCAGGTAACTTTTAATTTATGTTTATATGTGTAATATGATTATCAAAGCAATAATTTTCTAAAACCGCACAGTTAGTTTCCATCACAAAAAGGGTTAAAGACACATTTGGTCACTGAGATTACAAAATCGGGACATGTTTAGTCACTAGAAAAAATTAATATCAAAGTTGGTCACTACAATTACTAAAAATGGACACATTTAGTCAAAACTCGCCGTTAGTCTCCGTTAATGAAGTCCGTTAAGTGATGATGTGGCAAATAGAATTGCCTAATCAGCCGGATATAACCCAACAAAAATAAAACCCGACCCGCCACGTCATTATAACCTGCCATGTCATTAAAACCAACCCAACCCATGATCCAACCCCACCCAACCCTTCTTCCTCCTTCCTCTCACCTCCTTCTTTCCCCAAAACCACCGCCGCCGCTCTCCTCCTTCCTCCCACCACCTTCCAACCCACCCAGAAAACCAAAAAAAACCCCTTTCCCACTTCTCAACTTCTCCAACATCGAAACCAATCTCCACCACCCCACCTCCGCCCCAATTACAACCACCACCACATCTTCACATTCTTGGCAGAGTACTCGAACCCTTCAGGATGATGGAACCCTTTGTGCAAACACTGAACAACAATGGTGGGCGGCACACCTGCAAACCCCATCACTTCATTGTTCAGACCCCTCGGTCCGTCAATGGGATGATCCAATATGTAAGCGGCAACTTCTCTAATCGCACCTTCCCCTACCCTTGTCCCTCTTTTCAACCCTTCCCCGTTGGTCGACACCAGTAGTCCCTGCGGGTTGTTCACTGCATTAGGCTCCTCGTCGCTGGGCTTGAACACGGATAGGAACCCTCGCCCTGATGGCTTCCTCATGAAATAAGTCCCCCTTGTTCCTTCCGACGAACGGATCGGCGGGTTCTAGCCAGAAATCCCTACCAGCTTGCTCCTGATTTGGCGCCTCAATCGACGACTCCTGATTCTGCTTCTGGTTCTGCTTCTGATTTTCATTAGGGTTTGTTGCGGCGGCGACGGAGATCTCGAAATCTCTGTTCAGCGGCTGGGCTCTGACCTTGGCGGTTTTCTGGACGAGGAGGTGAATCGCGGCAGCGTCTGCGGCTCTGGTGTCTCGGATCTCGTCGATGAGGCGCTGGTCATCGAGCCTCTGACCGTTGTAGAAGATTTCCTGCTCGTCGACGTCGACGAAACCCTTGCCCTCTTGGAAGATGCGGTGTTTTAGGTATCGGACGTTTCGGTACCGGTCGACGCGGAATTCGAATTCCTTGCCGCAGGTGGTGCGGACGGTGATGAGGAGGAGGTCGGAGAGCTTGAGGACCAAGTGGAGGACGTTGCCGGTGGTGATTCCGTAGTCCTTGACCAGATCGGCGCTCCGGAGGAAAGGAAAAGGAGGAATCGGAGAAGAGAAGTGGAATCAGAAAGGTTGTGTTTGGTTTATGGGTCGGGTGGGTGCATGGGTTGGTTGGGCATATGACATGGCGGGTTTAGTGACGTGGCGGGTCG